CCTGAGCTAATTGGGAGCATGGGGGGAGGGGAAAGAGAGTTAGGAGAAAGAGAAGGGGAGAGGAGGACATGAGAGAGCAGGAAGACTGAGTCGGAGAAAGAATAGAGGAGAGCAAGAAAAGAGATAGCATAATAGAGGGAACCATTACAGGTTTAAAGGGAAATCTGGCACTAGGGAAAGTCCAGAGATCTACAAGGATGACACCAACTAAGAATCTAAGCAGTAGTGGAGAGGCTACTTAAATGCCCTTCCCCTATAATGAGATTAATAACTACCTTATATGCCATCCTAGAGCCTTCATCCAGTGGCTGATGGAAGCAGAAGCAGACACCCACAGCTAAACACTGAACTGAACTCAGGAATCCAGTTGCAGAGAGGGAGGAGTGATGAGCAAAGGGGTCAAGACCAGGCTGGATAAACCCACAGAAACAGCTGACCTGAACAAGGGGTTGCTCATGGACCCTAGACTGAAAGCTGGGAAACCAGTATAGGACTGATCCAGACCTCCTGAACGAGGATGCCAGTTTGGCGATCTGATTAATCTACGGGGTCTCTGGTAGTGGATCAGTATTCATCCCTAGTACACGAATGGACTTTGGGACCCCACGCCACACAGAGGGATACTCTCTCAGCCTAGACACATGGGGGAGGGCCTAGGCCCTGCTTCAAATGATGTGACAGACTTTGAAGACTCCCCCCAAGGAAGGCCTCAACCTCCCTGGGGAGCAGAAAGGGAAAGGGACAGGGGGTTGATGGGGGGCAGGGGAGGGAGGGAGAGGGAATTGGGATTGACACGTAAAACAAGCTTGTTTCTAATTTAAATTTAAAAAAAAGAATTGTTATACATTTGTTGTCTATGTAGGGCAAGACTGCAATAGTTTAGTTCTTTATCGATTTCTAGATTTTGCTCCAGCATTCTGTGTAGATATTTGTGCATAATTTAAGCTGTACTGATTTCTAAAAAAAACAAAGTAGAAAAAAACAAGAACAAAACCCCTTACAGCTGACAATGAGGGAGGAGAGCAGAGGCAAGGGGGGGAGCCCCAAATGAGAACCCTCTCGGGGGTCTTTGGAGGTGAGTCTGGGCACAGGAACCAGACTTGTGCCCAGGAGGGAGGAGGAGCATTAGCTGACTAACTTGCTCTAGCAGGAGGAAGAAGACAGCATGTGGGTATCTTCAGACTCCCTCAGCGGGGCTGTCCCTCTGTGTAGCAGGAACAGAACTCCTCCAGGAAAGACAGGCAGCCCCAGGGCGCTGACTCAGGCGCGATCACACCTGGACTTGGGAACACTGGCAAGACTGGGCTCATCTAGAGTCCCCACAGACTGGTTGGGGGCGGATCTGGTTTCACTTCAGGTTGGTGTAACTGAGGAAAAGGGGCTGCCCGCTTTCCTTTGGGAGTTAGTTAATGTCGTGGTCTCTCCATTGTGTGGGACCTTTCCCGAGAATAATATTTGGTTTACTCATTTCTGCATTCATAGTGACTGACATCTAAGTCACCGTCAGCTGACCTGGAGCCTCTAACCATGCAAGCTGTCTGGGCTTCTCTTTAGAGGTTCAGAGATGCAAGATTTGGTAGCAGTTACCAAATAAAGCTTGATCTCCGGCAGAGCAAACTGGGGGCTAGGGGAGTTGACTGATATTTATCCTGGGGAACTGATGAGGCCATCCGGGTGTTGCAATAGTCCTGGGAGTACTCTGCTCTTGCCTGCAAAAAGTAGCTGAAAGTGGCTAATTTGCCTTTGCCAATGAGGTACCATTCCCGACCACAGTGTAAAATCTCTAGGAGATTAACCTCTTAAAAAACAAAAAAAGTGCATGCCTCTAATCCCAGCACCAGGGAGGCAGAGGCAGGCGGATCTCTGTGAGTTCGAGGCCAGCCTGGTCTACAGAACGAGTTCCAGGACAGCCTCCAAAACAATACAGAGAAACCCTGTCTCAAACATACAAACAAACCGGAAGAAGCTGCCCAGTGTGTGCACACCCTGAGGGACACACTTCCTACGAACAGGGTCTGGCAGCTTGAGGAGGAGGGTGGCATGGGGACCTAGAAAGGACAAACCTCCACAGGTGTCAGTTTTGTGGAGGCACAGCCCTGCTTGAAGTTCCCCCTTGTCCTTGTCCCTTTCCCTCCTCCCTGCGCTCCTAGCCCAACTGAGAGCTGAAAGGAAGCGAGGTTGGTAGATGACTCAGCAAGCTGTAGACGCCTGCCTTCTGTCTCTGCCTTGGTGACTTGAGGGAGGGACCACCGTCTCTGGAAGGGAGGCACAAGCACGCTTCTGACCACTGCTTCCACGTGACAAGTGCCGAGCTTTGTGTCCTGCCAAGCACCAAAGTGTAAAGTGCTTCAGAAGGATGGAGAAGCCACAGCAGAGGCGAGAGAGACCTCAACTGGCATCTCCAGCTGGGCACCGGAATGCTCAGCGGGCAAGCACACCCACCTTAAATGGACCGCACATCACTTTTTAAGCAGACGCGGAAGGACTGCGCGCTGGAGTCATCAACCACTCATTTGTTAGAAGAGAACAGCCAAATGCATTGCAACACTCGATGGCCTCACCAGCCCCCGGGGAACGTATCAGCCAACTCCCCTAGCCAGAGATGATCTCTCATCAGTGAGGCCCTTTTCTGGTAAACAGCTGCACAGCAGACACTTCCCCCTAACCCACAGCACACACACCGCCTTGTCCAAACAGCAGCCTCTTTTCTTCAGAACTGTGTAAGAATGCCACAGAGCAGCCAAAGACTCTTGCAGCCCTCAGGTCTCTGAAGTCGCCGGCCCTCAACTGCCGGCTCGGAGATTTAGAACCTGCTCACTTCTCTGACAAAAGGCCAGGATTTTTTTTTCAACTTGGCACATATAGAAACAGAAATGGGTATTTTTAAAAAGTTTTGTATTTTATTAAGATGTTGTCTATGAATGCTGAACAAAGTGTGTGTGTGTGTGTGTGTGTGTGTGTGTGTGTGTTGCTAAGGTTCAGACCCAGGACCTCAGACATGCTACTCAGACTACAACTGAGCCGCACCCCGGGGCCTGAATATTATATCTTGGTCAGTAATTTTAACTCATATGAAACAACTGCCAACTTTAAAAAGTATTCTCTTAAAAGGTTTTAACCACCTGGGCAGTGGTGGCACACACCTTTAATCCCAGCACTCAGGAGGCAGAGGCAGGTGGATCTCTCTGAGTTTCAGGCCAGGCTTTTCTATAGAGTTGGTTCCAGGACAGGCTCCAAAGTTTTTGAAAGCTATTCCCCTTTCATGGAATTTTTGTCTGTCTCTCATCCAAGCCAGTAGTATCCATGGACACATGAGGCATGACATTCTCCTTCCAAGAACTCTAGTGCTGGGACATTTCCCCCTTTATATGGAGTGTGTACATTTGATTCTGTCCTTAGGACTCATTGGAGAATCAGGTGTGGAAGGTATGAGTGACCCGTGTAAATTCCTGTACAATGCTAACTTAACATGTAGTCCGTGACAGAAGCAAGAACTAAAAGAGAAAATCTCACTGGACTAGGGCTTGAGGAAGAGGGACACCCGTGGCTGAGGGAGAATGGGAACAATTCCTGATGGCTTCCCTGAATCTCCAAACAAGACATAAGTTAAAATTCACCTTCCAGCACACTGGGCTTTGGCCTACTCCTGGCTTCCAGCACACTGGGCTTTGGCCTTCTCCTGGCTTCCAATGATCCTCAGGATAACTGTTTGCAGAGACTGCTCTCTGCTCAAATACAGATACAATGGAAGATCTCAAGGGATGTTTCACCAGCCTGCATCAGGACTGGAGTCACACTAATAATGCCTCCAGCCCACAGCTCCACAAACAGTCATGGGATGCAGAGAGAACAAGGCTGAGACATTGATGAACTAACTCGTGACGCTTTCCCGCCTGTCTCTGACCCCGGCTGGAGCTAGTCTGCTTTTTCTAAGCAATTTCGGTTAAACTAAACAGTTCAACCCCACATTATCCCAAATCGTGTTAAAGATGAAAACGGGGATATGCTTAAGCGGGTTTCTCCAGCCTCCACTTGACAGATGAGGAAGGAAATTGAATAACAAAGAAAAGGACATTAATTGACCAAGGAACATCGGACATTCCTGTGATCAGACACTTTCTAACTCACAACACGACTTTGATGTCCCATTGCAATGATTTCTAGAAAAATCAAAACTGATTTTCGAAGCAACACTTTAAAAAATCATTGAAAGAAGACCAACACTGATTGTTTCCGTAAATCTCCCAAACATTTGACTTCCCCTTTTATCTGCGAAGAAGAGCATCTTGAATTACAGAAGCTGACTCCACGCTGAGTGGCGCGCAGCTCTTTTTGAAGAGTTGCTTTCGGGGGTTGGCCAGGAGCTGTTCAGACAGATAAGACTACTGAGGTTACTAGCGACTGCATGTATGAACTAACTTGTAAAGATTACTGTCGTCACAGAGGGAGGATCCCGGCCCACTGGAGATGTCCCAGTGTAAGGAGATGGCTCCGATTTGCTCTGCCACTTTAGAGCGAGAGAATCCCAACCGCCCAGAGAAAAGGCAGGGAGGAGTCTGTTGAGTCTCCAAAAGTTACACAACGCACTTAAGGGCGGGAGACAGGAGACAGAAAACGACAAACACCAGCCCTCAGATGCTAAGTTCATGCCTGCACAACCTCGACAGGCCTTTTCCACAAATCTGAGGCCAACCCAGAAACCCTCAGACCTTCCTTATCTGAGCAAACGCGGGCGGGGTTCCTGGAACTCCTCCCTTCGCAGATTCTGTGGTCCCCTCCGAACCTGGGTTCTAGACAAAGGCCATCCACGCTGCACTGTGCCCAGCTGTGGAAAGCGTATTGCCGACCCTGGCAAGAGTTGGTACATGCCGCCCCTCAGCTCCGCAATCAGACCGGGAAAAGCGGTCTCCCAGGGCGCGCACAGCCGCCCTGGGTTGGAAAGGGCTCCCACAGAGGAACCCGCTCCTGGCCAAACTGGAGGAGCAGGAGTAGAAACCCACCTGGCGCGGAACTGGAGGCGGCGGCGGCTTTGTTTCTCGCGCTTTTCTTCCTAGTGGGGGGCCGAAAAGCAGAAATGCAGCTTCCTTGGGAATCTCGTCGCGGATATGGGTGAGGCCGGCGTTGCCTGGCCACGCAGACAGATTGGGGCCGGGTGCAGAGGACGCGGAGGGTGGGCGTTCCAGCCTCGGGGGCTGGGGCCGCACCCCACGTCTCCTAGGATGCCCCTCCCCGCTGGGCCCGCTTGCAGAAGCCAAAGGAGTCCCCGCGGAGAACCAGTGTGGGTTCTACGCAGGAGCCAAACTGTAGAGCCCGGAGGATACCAGCCGCAGACGCTCAGTGACTCAGGGGACCCCGGGAGGTTCCTCGGGGGAAGGACCAGGGACCCCCAAACTCAGCCTTGTGCGTAGTACTGAGATACCGTCTCCTCCTGCAGGATGGTTACAGCTGGAGAAAGTTTGCAGAGAAGGGAACTGTTTCCAATTACTAAAGTTGTAAAACCGAAGGGCTCGTCCGGGATTTGAACCCGGGACCTCTCGCACCCAAAGCGAGAATCATACCCCTAGACCAACGAGCCGCGATACCACGCTGCTGCTTCACAGTTCATCTGTCTAACCGAAACATTTCCGCGTTCAGTTGGCTGTCAGGATGTGTTGCCGGTGGTTTCTTTTTTTCCTTCCTTCCTTCCTTCCTTCCTTCCTTCCTTCCTTCCTTCCTTCCTTCCTTCCTTCCTTTCTTTTTCTTACAAGCGAATCTTCTTTCTGATTATTTCATTTGCACCCCATCTTAGTCAATTCCCACCCAAGACCTCTAGACTTATCCCGTCTTATTCTCTATCCACGTCCCTGACAACTCTAGGTCCAAAACGGGATCCGAGGCGGCCGCTTTTTAGATGTCAAGTCATGCGCCTATTTAATCCAGGCGCCTGAAGCGAGCCGGGTTGGCGCTGCACGCCCCGGGCGGAGCTCAGATGCATCCACCCCAGCAGCCACAGAAGCCTGGGGGCAGGAGGCGGCTACGGGTGGCCCGCTAGGCTGGAGGAGGACCGGGTTCCGTAGACCCTCGCAGCTCTCCGGAACGGGAATTGCGTTTTCAGTCTCCCTTCACCCACCCATCTGGACTTCAGACGCTTCCAACCTCATCTCCAACTCACGGTCAAATGCTACGCGAATACCTTAACGAATAAAGCGCCGCTTTACCGGTCAAGGATTGTGTTGTGCAAATCAGAGTCCTGCGGGCCAATAGGGCACGGGAAACTTGCGCACACAAGCGCGTGCACAAGGGTCTGGACCTTGTGGTCTTTGGAGTCTGGACTTAGGACGTAGGGCAGCAAACTAGGCTCGGTTGGAAACTAAAAGTAAACAATAGAAAGTGCCAGGAAACAAACTCAAAGTTCTTATTTTTTTTTTTTCCCCAAGTGCAAAATCGTGGTCAGTGATTGAGCAAGACCTAGCGAATCCATTCTCAGGAGCGGGGATGAAAGCGTTGCCTATAGGACTAGAGATTATTTACTCTGAAATCCCAAAACATAGGCTACTCCTTCGAGCCGGAATCGAACCAGCGACCTAAGGATGGCTGTCGCACACTCTACAGTCCTCCGCTCTACCAGCTGAGCTATCGAAGGGAAGCGCGGCTGACGGTCCGCCGAGAGCGCTGTTCAGTGTGCAGGGCGCAGCGGCCCCCGGTGTGCGGCGACCGGATCCGCCGTCCTGCTCCACCCCGGCTTTCCGGACGCAGCCAGCGCCCTGCGGGGGTCCGCCTGGGGCGACGGGGTGCACGCACGCAGGCGGCGGCGCGGGCTCCAGAGGTCTGGGACCGTGCGCCCCGCACCGGGGAGGCGTGGTCCTGCGCGCCCAACCCTGCGGCGCGACCCTGCGCCGCAGCCGGGAAACCCGGGGGCTGGAGGCGTGGCTTGGTGGGTGGTAGCGCCGTCGCCCAGCGCCAGAGTCTCCAAGTTCAGCTTAAGCTCGTAAAAGCAGAAACCGCCGTCCTTGGAGAGGAAGCGTCCCTTTAGAAGGAGGCCATAAGCGAGGTCTCACCCCAACCGCGGCCCTTCGTTTCAGGGGCCAGACGGGGACGTCTCGGGATCACGCAGCTTGGGCTCCCCGCGCGGCCTCGGGGGGGACCAATCCGCCCTCCCTCTTTCCCTCTCCCTCCGCCCCCGGGCGCCCCACGCGCGCGCGTAGCCGAGTGTAGGCGGAGGCCCCACCTTCCCAGGGTGCAGAGAATCAAAACCAAACGAGAAGGGCAGCTGTAACGCACTTTCTTCCCTCCGTGAAAAGAGATGTTGAGCGCAGGCCCCAGCGAGATTTGAACTCGCGACCCCTGGTTTACAAGACCAGTGCTCTAACCCCTGAGCTATAGGGCCTGACGGAGGTCCTGCGTCTCTCTCCATTAGAAAAGGATAGGTTTGCTGGTTCTCCGGCTGATCGGCTGCACGACAGAAGGCAAACCTGGATTGCACTCTAGTCTGATCCCCGCGTATACATCCACTCCCGTATGCAGTACGGAAATTCAGTCTACAGACTCTGGGCTTGTTGGGACTGGTTTAGCGGCGGATTGTGGCGGGGATCACTACTCTCCTAAATTTGGAGAAATGTGTCCACCCCGACCTCACCACCTCTCCCTACCCCCTCCTCCGCTGCTCCCCATCCTCCCCCCCATCCTCCCCCCACCCTAACACCAACAGAACCCTCCTCTCGTGCTTCCTTCAGACGGTGAAATCCGGAACAGAAATCCAGAGCAAGGAAATAAGCCGACCACAAGTCTGGGCGGAACCTGACGCCCCCACATCTGGATTTCTCTCCTGGACTCCAGACCTCCACCACTGGCCTCTTAAAAGATCTTCCCCTCAGCGTCAGAACAAGCAATCCCCAGTTGGCCATTTAACTCATTCCTTCATTCAAGAAGCTCCAAATTCTCCGAATAGGGATTCAGATTTATTATTTTATTATTATTTGCTTCGTTGATAATCATTTTATTTTCTTCCCTCATACTTCTTTTGTGCACCACGTGGGATTTTTTTTCTTTCAGTTTTTGTGGAACCAAAATGAAAAGCAGATGTACCAGGTGTAACTTGCTTTTGGAGGACCCTGAAAAGGGGTGGGATAAATCTGAAGATCGGGGAGGCTGGGATTTGCACTACGGTGGTGGTGGTGGGGTCAGACGATTCCTGGTAGAAGAAAATTAGGAGTAAAGTCCAAGGAAGACCCAAATGCTTAAGGGTAGGTACACTGTTAGAACATGGTTGGTCCAGGGCTGGAGAGATGGGTCAGAGGTTAAGAGAACATGGTCGGTCCACCCTCATCGAAGTGACAAGAGCTGAGATGGCTAAGAGACAGGAATGACGGGAAGTCACCAAGCGTGGAGTGTAGAGGAAACTGAATGGAGAGGAAACTAGAGAGTCGAGACCCCAGAGCCGGGCGAGCACAAAGTTGGAAGAGCCGGGGGCTACAGAGGAAAGACTAAAAGACACAGAGAAACGTTGGTCTGCTGCCTTTAATGCGGCGGACAGAAAGGAGAGGGGACTCTCCGTCTTACCTCCATACCTGTAAAAAGGACAGAGGTGCAGAAATGTCAGCGTCTGGGTGGCGTACATAGGAGGTGCAGGGAGCTCTTCACGGAACACGCTTGTGTTTAGAGTCCGTGAGCTAAGGTCATGCTGAGAATAAACTAAGCAAGCCTGGGAGTAGAGCCGAACGGTAAACTGCAACGTCTTGGGTTCGGTTTCCAGAACCACAAAATAAAATAAAAAGTTAAACTGGGAGTACTGGGAGTACTAGCTTCCACCAGCAAACCTCACTGTAGGCACTGTGACCTGAGCATCTTGAGATCAAGGCCAGCCAGGGACACACCCAGGGCAAGACACTGTCGCTATCAATCAGTAAGTAAAAGTTAGCTTTTCAAAAGGTTGCTTTTTGCCTTAACTTTTTTTCTTGTATGTATGTATGTGCGTTTTGCCTCCATGCATGATTGAGCACCAGCTGCTTGCTTGGTGGCCAGAAGGGGGACCCGGGTCCCCAGGGACAGAAGGTACAGACAGCTGTGATCCACGTGGGCTGCTGACAAGGAGCCGTCTCTCTAGCAGGCGATTCGTTTTTGTAGGTGGGGTCTTTATGTTCCTGGCTGGCCTGGAACTCACAGAAATCAGCCTGCCTCTGCCTCTGCCTCCAATACACCTGGTTCAACAATGTTTTTTATTTTTTATTTTTATTTTGCTTTTAAGAACATGTATTTGCTTTTGTGTCTGGGGGCCATCGGATGTCACAGCTGGAGTGTGCAGTCGGAAACCAACCCCTCACCAGCTGAGTTCCAGGGATGAAAACCTTAGTCCACCAAACCATCTTGCCACCTCCACTCGGATTTTTATTTGTTGTTGTTGTGTTTGTGGAATCGGTTTTCCTTCCACGCTTATTTGCATGACTTCTGAGGGGGGGGGAGTACCAAAACTCAGATTGCTGGGTAAGCAAGCCAAACAAAAGCTCAACAATGAAAACGATTGCTTAAGAAAGTTGTCCGAAATTTAAAATAAAACGTTTAAATTCCGCAAGTCATCCACTAAGTTAGCACTTAGTGGGTCTATACTGTGGGACTGGAGAGCCGGCTCAGCAGTTAAGAGTACTGGCTGCTCCAGTAGAGGATCTAGGTCCAGTTCCCAGCGCTCACATGGTGGATCGCAACTGCTCCTAACTCCAGCTTCAGGGAACCCAGGGACCTCTGTCGGCCTCTGAGGGCTCCCTCCCACACACACTTAATACACGTGTTCTTGCAAGCTCACACATGTATCCATAAATAAAAGATAAATATTTTTAAGCTATGCACTCTTGAAGGAAGATAGTAAAAATATCACCAAGAAAATCTCTAGACTGGGTATTTCCAGGTTCTTGAACAAGAACGAGACGCCCCCTTGTGCACACAGCGACAGTAAATTCTTCACTTGAGGAGAACAAGTGATTCAGAAACAATAACAATATTCTAGTCTTAAATAAGTGAGGGACTGGGAGCTACACAGATCTCTGATGGCCAGACAGCTAGGGAAAGGGGCACAGACAGATGGTAAAGATGGCAAATTTTCCTGACCAGAGACAAGAGCCATCAGTGGGACTCCTCTTCCGTTTGACTGATCCCGGCTGGTCAG